GGATTTTAAATTCCTTGAAGCATTTCAGAAATCCTGTACGGTTATTTATTTCTTATGAACTTTCTCTTCGGGCAAAAATAGTCAAGGCTTGATCAAAACTAGATTGGTTATTTCCTAGTTTTGAATTCCTTGGGTTCCTCAAAAATTACATTCACATTATCATTAAGAATTATAAAGCAGTCCAGTTTTTAAAGGTGCATAATCCAACAATGCCCCTTATAATGTCATTTGACAGATGTTTGGATTTTATTTCTGGCCTGTATAGGTAATTATATATTCCCAAGTGAAGGCTTCTATGAAACTATGTGATGCATGGTTAGACCTTCAACCAGGGTTTGTTCATGTGGGGAAAGGAGATGGGAGACCAACTTCAAGTTTCTTCCCTTTTGTAGTCTCTCCATCCTCTAGAGCGGCTATCTTATTTGTCATATGCGTTGGAAATATTTCTAGAACAGGTATGCTTCTTTTTCCTTCAAAGTAATCCAATTTCTCTTGCCAGAAATCATGTTTTATTTATTTATTATTATTTTTTAAAAACCAAAATTTTTTATTATTTGTCATAAAAAATTACAACATGAACTAGTTGCAGAAAATTGCTAGATGAAAAAAAAAAAATACCATCAACACTAACAAGAAGGCAATGAAGCTAGAGCCATCAACTAGAAGAGAAGAAATAAAAATGCTACGTAAAAACATCCAACTTGAAGTCTTGTATATTTAGAATAGTGATGATATACTTTCTTATAATTTATTCCTCTCTTGGTATATGGACATTTAAATTTTTTGTTCATGAGCTCTTGAATGCTAGAAATACTAACATCAGAGTCAGCAAATAGAGAGTCAGGATCATCAATATCCCCAACAATAAGATGATGATCATGACGTAAACCACTGGTTGATTTGGATTAATAGTCTTCAGAATAGGGGTAGTGGAAATCATCACCCTTGGGCCAACTTTCGAAGAATGCGTTGAATCTAATGTAGGATCCAAGATTGTTTCAAAGTTTTGTTTATAAATCATATCAGAAGAAGTTGAAGCTGCCGCCATTGCATGAGAAGGTTTATTTCTATCAAGTATTTGCTCCCCATTATCCTGATCTCTAGGTGGTTTACGCAAAAGTTATGGTTGTACCCTTAAAGCAACGTGAGAACTTTTGTCCAAAAATTTTACACTAACAATAATATGAAGTGATACCTTCAAAACGAACCTTTGCCAATAGCCACAATCAAAGGAATGAATCTAAATTTCATTCTCCAAAAGGATAGTGATGCCCATTTTCACTTGAATGCTGGCCATTAACTGTCTAAAATGCTAGTAGCAGGAGCTTTCACCTCAAGCGTTTTATCATAAATAGTGCTAAGAGAGTAAGGTGGATTGTTTGAAATAGTTAATCTGGAGATGAGGAAAAACAACTCAAATAAGAGTTACATGAGGGTCTTTGAAACAATCAAAGGTGACCACTTAAGCATTCACATTGAGAAGCCATCATTTATTATGTTCTCCTGGACAAGAATCTTGAATAATAAGCTTTGAGGGATAATTTGATGAGAACCGAATAATCAATAAGCCCAACTGAATAATCCCACCAATGTTAGAGAGAAGGGGAGAGAGGATATGCCAACTCAGAAATCTTTTCATCTTATACCAGTGACGTGATGGGGGTAGCTTCTGATAAACTAATACGGGAGTATGCTGGAAGTATATGGGAAATCGAGATGAAGAGATAGGTAGAACATCATGAACCTTATCGTCCTTAACCATCTTTGCGAAAAAAAAAGAGGGGGGTGGGCTTAAGAGGAGGTGGTTACATAGTGGACGAAATCCTGGTTGTAAGGGATGCCATAGGAAAAACATTTCTTGTGGGAATTCCTGAGGAGATGGTGAAGAAGATAGCTTGGCTACCAATGGGAGATTCTGAGCTAAAGGAAAACAAAATTGCTTAACACAAATTGTGATTGGAAGAACAAAAATTGATGAGTGGCGGGGGAAAGAAGAAACGTATTGGTTTAGAGAGGACACCACCCTAAGCATCAAGGCCAAAGATATCATAATGCTAAACATCAATGCGTATCACTACTAGGAATGACGATGATATATTGACAAAATCACATCACACTTAATGATTGACCGCAAGCATGCACACTTGTCAGCAGGACAAGTGCACTGAGATTGCATCTAGCTTTTAAGGCACTGAGACATGATGATCAGAAGCTTGCAAGTGCACTTGTGAAGCAAGGGGAAGGTGCGGGGCAAGATGGAGGTAGAATGAGGCTATCTGTGAGTGCATGCATGCTCGAGTAAGTGCTAGGGTGCCTCATACAAGGGAGAGAGGTGAGATAGAGACAAAGGAAATGAATGGCTTGCCGGAAACTTGTGATCACACGATAAATACATTATAGGGTTTTATTGTAATTGTCGTTTCCATGAATGCCAGGCATCTTCTTGAAATTACCTTATTAATCAACTCGAGCAAAGCTGAAAAAAAAAAAAATTAGATCACGTGTGCGACGACCGAATGATCTCCATTCGTGAAACATATAGCCCGTTGTCGTTTTAGCCCTTGACCGACCCTACCAACCTCCTGCTACTGTCCAGTTACGAAGTCACCATTGTCTAGGTCGCTGACCCGATTCATCTCCAATCTCCCTCTGTCCCTCCATTCATCTTCACCACCTTCTTCTTTGACGTCTTCTACCACCTCTTCTTTCCAAACCACCATCCCTCATCATGCTCTCTCTCTCTCTCTTCAACTTCTTTAATCTTCTTCTTCCACACCCTCATCTTCCTCTTCTTACACCAACCTCAAACTCTCCACCACATAATATTTTCTCTTTCTTTCTCTCTCTAAAAATTTGTAGAGAGAAAGAGCCCTCCTATCCATTCCTCCATATTATCTTCTCCTCCTCCCTCTCTTTCTCTCTCTAAACAAAGAGAGAGAGAGAGAGTTCTCTCCACCATTCCCACCTCTCTCACCACAAACCGATTGTCCTCTATTCCCCCTTTAGTTTCTTTCTCTAAACAAGGAGAGAAAGATCCTCCAAAAAATCTCCATCCCTCTCTCTCTAAACGGAGAGAGTATATCCCTCACTATTCATTATTGTGTATGTGTAATAAAATGTGTATATGTATTCGCTTGTTGGTTTCATTACTCGCAGTTTACTCGCTTGTTTTAAGCACGTAGGTATCTATGATGCTCAGACATGGACATGGCGACATAGACATCATACGACATGGATATGACACGACATGGATACGAGACGCATTAATTATTGAAAACATAGGACATAGATATAGGTTGGATATTACATCATAATTTTTATATCTAAAAAATCATGTATAAAAATTGAATAAGCAAAATAATAAAAATAATTGAAAAATAATAAGTAATTTAATTAGAATTTGTGCTTAAAATAATTAATATTAGGATGTCGAGAATTGGTGTCGATGTCATGTTAGACATCGAGAGGGGAGATGACAATGCTCTCGATAATCGTACATCATTATTGTGTAATAGGCATCGAATATTAATGTTAAGATGGCTTTGGTCATCAATCTCAAGATACCGTTATTTGTCGATGCTAAGACTTTATTGAACAAAGATTAGATGTCGAGATGGCATGAGGGTGTGATTGTTGGTGCCGATGTCAACACAACATCAGACTTTGATGTTGAGATTATTTTGAAGTACTAGTGTTGTGACTGCATTTGACATCGAGGTTGAGATGATATTGAGCATTGTTGTGGAACCTTAGCTATAACCCGCCAGAGAAAAATGAAAATGGGAATGTTCAGGGAATGAGATATTGAGTGAGGGTGATTGGTTTGAGGCTTTGGAGAGGAAATCAGAAATTTAGTGTTGAATTAAGTAGCCAAGGGGATGACACATCAGCAATTCGTGGGAAGCAATCCGAGGGCTGCAGTTGGAGATACGTGGACAGCAATCCGAGGGTTGCAATTGGAGATCCGTGGGCAATAATCCGAGGGTTGCAGTTAAGATCCGTGGGCAATAATCTGAGGGTTGCAGTTTAGATCCGCGGGCAATAATCCGAGGGTTGTAATTGGAGATCCGTAGGATATGATTATTATAATTAATTAGATTAAATGTCTTTCCTTTTTTTTTTTTTATTCTTCTAGAATGTATATATATGTAATTATTCTAAGGAATATAATAGAACTTGAAGTTCTCTCTAAATAATTTCTTCATGGTATTAGAGCCTAAGAAAATCCTAAGCCTTCTTTGAGTGCCGGTGGAAAACCTTCCTCCCTTTCTTCCAAACCCTCGACAGGCGGTAACTCTCCATCTTGCCGATAACCTCTCTTCAAGCATCGGTAGCCCTTTCCCAAAATTCATCTTTTCTTTCAATCGAGGAAACCCAACCATGTCCATGGATAGCGAGATCTCTTCCTCCTACCCAAATATTACTAGTTTAAACAACGAAAACTCTGGATCTATAGACAACTCTTCTACTCTTCCTAAACTAGGTGTGATCATTGTGCTAAAACTAGGACATACAAAGGAGACATGTTGGAAGATTCGTGAAAAACCAGCTGATTGGAAGGCAAAACAATCAGCACAAGAAAGCTAGGTGAACTCTATCAGCACCATGCAAGATCAATCCATCAAAGCTGAAGTTATTCCTTTCACCAAAGAGCATTTAGAGATGCTGAAGTTGCTGCTTAACAACCTCACGAACCAATAGTCTCCAGAACTTGCTACCATCCTACACGCTTACTCAGGTATAAAATAGTCAAAATTTTGGGTTATTGACTCAGGAGCATCAGGTAATATGACATGAGACATCACACTCCTTAATGACTATCAACCTTATCATTCAAATCGAGTAGTTAAGATTGTTGATGGCTCAACATCCAAAGTTTTGGAAACTGGTTCTGCTTTTGTCATAGAAGCTATCACCCTTAAATCGATGCTTTATATGCCCAATTTTGAATGCAATCTGATTTCCATTAGTAAATTTACTCGTGATTTTAATTGCTTAATAATTTTTTCCAATAATGCATGTATTTTCAAAAACTAGATTCGAAGAAGAATATTAGCAGTGTTGAGATGTGTTTTTGGTTATATTATATCAAGACACTCAAATCCATACAAACCTTAATTGCTGCTCCTAAGAATCATCCTATTGCAAGTCAGTTTGTTGAGAGTCATTCTAGAGTCAGACAAGATAGAGAGATTATCATATGACATTATAGGTCAGGTCATACAAATTTCATGTATCTTGAAAAGTTTTTTCCCCATTTATCTATTAAAAAAATCAAAATTTGTTTTGATGTGAAACTTGTCAATTGGCTAAACATACTAGATCATCTTACACAATTGTTCTTACCAACCTTCTATTATGTTGCTCACCTAAGTAGGGGTGTCAATATTTGACAAGACACGAAAATCCGACTCGAACCCGACTTGGAAATTTCGAGTTTGACCCGACCCGATTTCAAAACGGGTCGGGTTCAGGTTGACCTGATGGGTTGTCGGGTCAACCCGCGAACCCGTTTAAAATTAGCTTCCCGCGGACCCGCACTGCCCTGCTTGCCAGTGCACCGCCCACAGCTGCCCGAGCGCCCGTGCCCCGCGCTCGAGGCTGCCCGCGCACACCCGCGCTCACCCGCGTGCACTCGCGCTGGTCCGCGCGCACTTGCCTGTGCCCACCCGCGTGCGCCGGCCCGTGTCTGCGCGTTTCACTGTACCGGTCGGGTCGGGTCAACCTGGCAACCCGACGGGTCGGGTCCGGATCCGCATTTTCGATTCGTTTACATACCTGGGTCTGGTTAGGGTTAACCCGTTTGAATTCGTGTCAGTTCCGATTCGACCTGAACCCGACCCGTAACCTAAAATTGACACCCCTACACCTAAGTACTAAAATATCTATAGAGTGAAGTCATTCTTATTGCTGCATACCTATTAAATAGGTTATCTACTCAAATACTAAAATTTAAAACACCTAGTATCCTCATGCTCGATTCATATCATCAAATCTTCCACCTAAAGTTTTTGGGTGCTCTGCTTTTGTTCATATCTATCCACAAGATAGAAGCAGGCTTGACTCAAGATAAAAAAATGCATCTTTATTGTCTATTCCTCGACAAAAAAGATGTTACATTAGCATATGCTGAACAATGAGACATATCTTGCACCTATCAACCATACTTGAATGAATCCAGCAACTATAGAAATTCATACATAGGAAAAAAATGAGGAATTTCAAAAAGAGATAAGAGTCATCAAATGAAAAGAAAAAATCATACATCAAGCATCCAATCAAAAACTTTCTCTCCTATAGCAGATTATCAGACACTTATCAAGTCTTCCTTTCCAAGTTTAATGATATACAGATTCCTACCAATATTCAGGAAGTTTTGAATCACCCAGGAAGGAGATAGGTTGTTAAAGAGGAAATTATGGCATTGAAAAAAAAATGTGTTCACTGTAAAGCATAAGGTGGATAGTAGTGTTGAGAGGTTGAAAGCTTGACTGGTTGCAAGTGGATTCACTCAGTATTATGGAATAGACTATCATGAAACTTTTGCTCCTGTTGCAAAGCTCAACACCATCAGGATTCTTTTTTCCTTAGCAGTAAGTTTAGATTGACCCCTACATCAATTAGATATCGAGAATGCATTCTTGAATGAGAACTCGAAAGAAGAAGTCTATATGAAGATTCCAATGGGGATTCAAAAGTCTTATGGAAGGGATAAAGTGTGTAAGCTATTGAAATCCTTTTATGGATTAAAGCATTCTCCACGAGCATTGTTTGGAAAATTCTCAAAATATGTAAAATGCCATGGTTTTAAATAATGCCAGACATATCATATATTGTTTGTGAAGCAGTCAGAAAGAGATAATGTAGCAGTATTGATTGTATATGTGGATGACATCATCCTTACTGGAAATGATATAGAAGAAATAATGAAGATCAAGCAGGCTTTGCCCAAGGAGTTTGAAGTTAAAGATCTAGGATCACTTAGATACTTCCTTGGTATGGAGGTAGCTTGATCAAGCAAAGTTATATTTATTTCCCAACACAAATACCTTAGACTTACTGAAGGAGACCGGCATGCAAACCAACAAGTCAACCTATGGATCCTAACAAGAAACTTGGGATGAAAAAGGATAGAGTTCCAGTAGATAAACAAAGATATCAACGTCTTGTGAGAAAGCTTATATACCTCTCCCACACCCATCTGGATATTAGGTTTGCTGTGAATATGGTAAGATAAATATGAGTAATCCTATGAAGGAGCACATGGATGCAGTATATCAAATCTTGAGATATCTCAAGAACACTCCTAGAAAGGGGCTATTATTCAAGAAAAATGAAGATTGAAAATTGATTCTTTATTCTAATGCAGATTAGGTAGGAAGCCAGGTTGATAGTCGATCGACAATAGGATATTATTCATTTGTGTGGGGGAACCTAGTGACATGGAGGAGCAAGAAACAATCTATTATTTTCAAAAACAGTGCATAATCTGAACTGAGAGCATTAGCATATACTATTTGTGAAGGTATTTGGAGTAGACAAATATTGATTGAACTGTGAATAAAGATTGAAGGCATGATAAAGTTGAAATGTGACAATCAAGTCGCAATCAGTATAGCTAAGGATCTAGTACATCACAACATATTTAAAAGAAAATTTATAAAATATTTTACACATGCGTGTTAGACAGATGTGTCCAATTTATTTTTAATTTTTATTTAATTTGACATGTTTTTGGCATGTTCAACATATGTCAGAGGCTTTTCAGATGCGTGTTGTATCCAATACATGTTAGAAATTGCAAAGCATTGTGCATTATAGACATGTATGATAAAACCTAAAGCCAAAAACTCTGAAGCTACGAAGATGTATTTGACGCAGCATGGGAACTCTTATACACGGTTTTTCAGCATGGTGAGAAGAAGCTCGTCGGCGACATTTGCAATGTCACTGGTGGACCCCATTGGCTACATGCTCAGTTCGATGAGAGTTAGTATGGTGGGAGGAGACTCATCTGCGTTGTTCACTAAGAACCTGTTAGGATGAGCTCAATGCTGTATGCTAACACCATGCAGTTTTCGATGTTGGATGTTTTAGTTTTTTTCTTCGTGTGGTGATTTTTCAGTCTGTTTAGCCGTCAATATACTTGAATGCATTTTCTACTACTAGAATTAAGAGTTAGAATTTTGGTAGTAATTAAGTTTGTGAATTCATATATCTTCTTTGCTCTACTACGCAAGTGCCTTGCATTAATTGAACAAAGTTTGAATCAATATACCTCATTAATTGGCTTGGTTCAATCTCTCATGTAGCGCTGAGTTACTGTTCACTGAACATTTGCTGTGGGCGTGTTGTAATTGCTTAACGCATATGAGATTTCAATGACTTATTGCTAGGACGCCTAAGACTACTATGCCTTGCCATATTTCTTTTATGTGGGCAATCATCTGTTGTTGATACACCATATTCACAACTTAATATTATACAGGAAGACTGATAGCTTTTTTCCCCTAGATGAAACTGAGGTTGTGAAGACAGAAAGTATCTTGAATATTAAATATGGAATCGAGGGTGATAGAGCTGTCGGTGCACATATACCTGTGAATATAAAACCTGAAGGCAAAGATGAGCTTTTGTTTAAGATAGCACTTCCTTTACAACGGCCTGTGCTTGATCCTTGCCTGGCGGTTGGATTTCTTCCATTTACCTTTGATTGCCTGAGGGTTGGACAGCTAGTTGATATGAAATGGAGACTTGAAAGGTTGAAAGATCCAGAGGAAATTCAATCATTTTTGTCCAAAGTAAGTTATCCAATATGCCTGTTTTATTTTATCCAATTTGATTTAAGTACTTAAATTTTGTTGCCTTGGATTGCTAAATAAGTTAGCCCATGTTCTTTAATAGGTTTCTGTGATCTTCTCATTCACACTTGTTTTAAAATGTAATTGAGGTTTATTGTATGTTCTAGTCTTGAATTTTCTTAGAACTGCTAATAAAGAGAAATGAGAGTGCCCATTTATAGATAGAATCAATCATTTTGATAGCGTTAAAGAAAAGAATCGAAAACTAAAAGAAACTACAAAAAAATTCATGAACACGGCACGATTAGAATTATTATCACTAGGGAATAACTTGAAGTTTGGACGATTCTTTTGTCTGGTAGGATGAGCTACTCTATGAAATAGATGCTAACCCAGAGAACTGGATGATTGCTGGGAGGAAGAGGGGACATATATCTTTGGCTGCAACTCAAGGTTTGGAATTCATTTCTTTATTATTATTATTTTTTTAATTTTTTGGTATATAGGAACTTCATACTTTCATGGATTTAGTGTAATAATCCGTATTTTGACTTTGCCAATTTTTTTCTAGAGTCATAGTAACTTCAAATCGTTCCAGAAAAAAATTGGTAAAGTAAAAGTACGGGTTATTACATTTAGTTACTTAAAAGAAGCTTACTGAGCAAATTAATGGATATTTCAGGTTCAAGGGTAGTAATCACTGTGAGTTGCTTGCCTCTGGTCTCTGGTTATGTTCGTCCACCGCAGCTTGGACTGCCTGGCGTCGCTGAATCCAACATAAGCTGCAATCCTGCTGGGCCTCACCTAGTCTGTGTGTTGCCACCAACTTTGAGTTCTTCCTTTTGTGTACCAGCTTGATCTCTTAAAGGCTTAGTTTTCGGCCATTTAAATCTATCTGGATTCTCTCCTATTTACTGGATTAGATCTTGATGTTCCTGGTTGGAACTTGTGGTCTGTCAACCATCCAGATAAATCTGATTCAACTGGAGAAGATGGAAGAAGGCATCAGAGATTAGATTTATGAAATTCAAGTCTCTTATGTATTGTGGTGAGTGAACTTTTGAAGAATTTTGGTTTTTGCCTGCCCATGTAAAAATTGAGAAAGTAAATTAGAAAGATTGTTTGATTTATGTAAAAGAGGCTATGCAGGTGATGAGTCTTGTCCTTTACAAAGTAAAATTCTGCATATCATTCTGAAGTTTACATTATCACAAGTCTTTAGTGAAGTTCACTGCATAGGCTGACCTTCCAAAGCACTTTTTGTCTGTATTCTAATTCTGAAAGTATCTCATATGTAGGAGAAATTATTATGTGTGGAGTTCGGATGTAGAGTTGTGTTCAGACTTTGCGTATTTACTGAGTATTTATTGAGTATTTGTTGAATATTTTTGTTGAGTATTTATTACATATTTATTGCGTATTAAATACGGAGTAAATATTCATTAAATACTCAACAAATACACAATAATATAAAAAATTATATTTTGATCACATTTGAACATTTCATTGGAGTCTGGGTACAATTCTATGTGTATATATATAATTTTGAAGTTGATTTGATAAGTTGAGTCGGACGCACATAAAATGTCACTTGCTTGCTAAATGGGTTGAGCCGATCAACTTCGAGCTCCCTCAAATTAGGCTCATTTTTGCATATTTTAGGGTTTAGGGTTTTTGCATATGGATCGCATGTTGCATTTTTAAATTGGAGGTATGGTTAGCTGTCATGGAATTTATGAATGCTTTTAAATAAGCAAGGAGAATGATGTATGATAAATTATAATATATTGAGCTCAAATTTATACAATTATATATATATAAAAAATCAATCTTTCTTAAATATTGGGCCATGAAATCTTTCACAGAATCATATACTGTGTTATTTATCATTCATGGAATCACAATCCCATAAAAAACTCCAATGGGATATTTAGGATTGCTCTCATATTATAATATCATAATTACTGCATGATGTGCAAGTACCAATTCCATTAGTATATAGTATAAAGTGAACCAGTTAGAGATAGAGAGAGAAAGAGGGGGCAGGAGAGAGAGAGAGAGGTAGGAGAGAGAGAGATGGTGGAAGAGTGGTGGGGTTGGTCTTAAAAGACTATGAGGCTCTCAAGTCAACTGTTAGATATATAAAGGCAAAGCATGCATATAACTATCACTAAGGCTGGGGTCACTAATTAAGGCTTTGATTGGAACGAATTTCTTACTGTTTCTTAAAGCAGTTTTTTAGTAAAAAATATAAAAAGCTATTTTAAGGTTTCGTTTGGGACTGCTTTTTTATTGCTTCTTAAAACGGCTTTCTTATACAAAATTTTTAATTTTTGTACTAAAAAGCTGCTTTCAGAAGCAGGAAGAAAGCCGTCCCAAATGAAGCCTAAGAAATAATAATAAAGCCATCCTGAATGAAGCCTAAACGGATATGTGAATTGTGAAGCATTATGCTGAAGAAATGGTTGACAAAGAGAAATTAAAAGCACTGTTCCTCACATGGGCTGAAAGTAGCCACTTGCTTCTTCGCCATTGTTTCATTAAGTACTTGATGGCTCTCACGTTTTGATCCGTGACACTTCTCCAAAATTTTTAAATATTTTAAATATGAGATATAACGTTAATAAATTTTTTTTTTTTTTACATATCATTAATGTATTTTTTGGGATATTGGTAAATTTTTATGAAGTTGATTATAAAGTTGTTGTGGGGAAAGCAATTAAACTAATCTAATTGAGAAAAGTAACTTTTTACCACAAAATTTAGAAAAACAACGAGAAATTTGTAAGAAAATAACAGTCAAATGAAATTATAGTTGTTGTATGAAAAAATGAAGTGATGAGAAAGCTGTCTCAAACCGACCTTAAGGCTTCGTTTGGTACATCTTTCTTATTACTTTCTAAAATAACTTTTTTAGTTATAACGAGTACGTAAAGACTTGGCTAGTTGACGCTCATTGGGTTAATTATAGATAAATAATCAAGTTGTTAAAAATTGTGCGTGGATATTAGATTATATTAGCATGAAATTATGAATTGTTAAATTTATTTTGAGATTAATGCAATATATATATATATATATATATTATTGAGGGTTTAAGGCTAATTATAGATTGAATTTTAAGTAAGAAGTTAGAGCATATTTAATTTTAAAAAGATAGTAGGTTGGAATAGCTCAAATCTATAATCTTTACTTAGATTAATGTGTTAAGGTTGATTTTCTAGAGTAGGATTTTTTGGTTTCTCAACTCTTTCACTTCTAGGAAGAAAATATGTTGCCTAGCTCCCTATTGAGTGATTTTTATAAATTAAATATTAAGCTAGCCTTAGTAATTAATCAAAATTTAGTTAGAATAATTAATTAATAATCAATGAAAAATATTTTTCTACTTAAATAAGTAATTAATCGAAATTTAGTTAGAATAATTAATTAATAATCTTATTAATAATCATTGAAAAATATTTTTCAACATAAATATAAGTTAGGATAGATAATTAATAATCCTTATACACCCTTTTTGATGACTAAATTTTTTTGGAGAATTTAGAAAATTTGGTGGTGTTTGTGAGAAGGTTCTTGCTAGAGATAATTTTGCATGATGAGATTCTTAAGTTTATTCTTCTATTTTCTTCGTCATGCATCAACATACTTTAGAGTGAAGAGAGAACGTTTTTTCAGCATTTAAGTGTCTTAATGATGTTAGAATTGAGTAATCTTAGGCTTTTTGGATTTGTCTCATCGAGACACTTGATCGACTACAATCATGTCAAATTTAGAGTTCAACCCATCGTTGTATAGCTTGGTTGGTCAGCGAGTACTGTTGAGAACCCTCCAATCCGTGCTCGATTACCATTGAGCGGCAGCGCCTCTTAAGTGAGTTCCAATCAAGTGCGGGCCAAGAGGTTTCTGGGGTGGGTGTCTCTTCTATGTCAGCTGAGAATTAGTCATGCCGCCATGCGCCCTTTCGGGGGCGGCAGCGGGTGGATCCCCCGTTCCTATATATATAAATTAGGTGCCATTATCTAAATTAATTGTTAATTTGATAAGCTATTTTAATTTCGCTTAACGAATTAGGTTGATAGAACATAATTCATTCTTGAATAAAGCATACAAATATATGTGCTTTTTTATAATTTTGAAAAAAAAATATTTAAATTTTATGACAACCATATGATTAGGAGTATTATAGTTTTGTACACATTAGATATAAATATTTTTATTAATTTTCTTTTCATTAAAACCACTCTAAAGATCTTAATTTTTTTAGCCATAGTCAGAAAATTATATTAATGCATATTTCATACGATTACTTTTAAAAAAATCACATTTCCTTATTATAGATATCTTTATTATTATTTATCTTTGAATTAAAATCACAACTTACCACACAAAATCGCTTCTTATTGTGTGCGCTCTTACCAAATGCTTCACACATAATTTTTTAGAGTTTTTACATACATATCACTCAAATCTATTTTACTTAATTTACACTTTAACTTCACAATTTACCTATATAAAATTCTAAGACTTTGTTTGGGAGAGCTTTCTTATCGCTTCTTAAAGCAGTTTTTTAGAAAGCTGCTTTAAGAAACAGTAAGAAAAGTTGTCCTAAACGAAGCCTGAACATTAAAATAAACTAAAAAATAACACCACCCCATATCAAAAGCCCTAACCTTATAAGCGAGCCACCAGTTCCAGCACCCATACTGCCTCAAATGTTAATGCCCTTGCCTCCAAGCTTATTGATGCATGCTTGTGGAGAGATTATTACGTGTAGAGGCCGAACACAGAGAATCGTTCGATTTTGTGTCTGTGAACAAAAAATGCGTAATAAAAGCATAGTGATGAACAATAACTACACTTTTAGTTCACAGTCACAAAATCGAATGATTTTCAATGTCTGAACTCCTCATATAATAATCTCTCATGCTTCATTTTTTATCAGTTTCATATCACCACACCCTCTCTCTCCTCGCTCTGAGCGCCGTCAGGGCGATTTAGGGTTTCCTTGCTGTGTGAGTGATTTTGTGCTCGATCCAGTCATTTTTCTTGCTTGGATCTCGCTGGAGGTGGTGTTTTGTGAGTTCCCTTCGTCTCTCTGCCCTTTCGGGCTGTCGGGATGGCTGGGGTTCCACCTACCAACCCGTGGGGGAAGGTTTCGGGCCCGATTAATCAAGGCTTAAACAGAGGCTTTTTCTCTTTAGATGGAGAGGGTGCGGTTTCTTCGCCTTCTCGTTCTTTTAAAGACGTTCTTTCTGCAGATCCGATGTCAGGTGACAAAATCCCTAACTTAACTCAATCGACGTTTAATGGAGTTCCGACTGTTTTTCTTTTGGACGAAGATGTCCTTAAACTTGCATCTCCATTTCAGTTCACCTTGGTAGGAAAGTTTGGTTTGCGTAGACCGAATCTCGACTCTATTCGTAGCTTTTTCGGTAATTTGAAGTTATCTGCTTTCTTTTTAGTCGGTTTAATGGATTCTCGACATGTTGCTATTCAGCTTTCTAATGACCTAGATTATAGTAGAATTTTTGCTAGAAGAGCTTATTTCATTAACAACTGTCAAATGCGCGTTCTTAAATGGACACCTTTTTTCGATGTTAAAGAGGAATCACCCATTGTGCCGATTTGGATCTCTTTTCCTAATCTAAGATTACATTTCTTTAACCCTAAAGTTTTGCATGCGCTAGGTTTGATTTTTGGCAGGCCGCTTCAAACTGATCAGGCCACTGCTGCTAGAACTCGACCTTCTGTTGCTAGAATTCTGGTGGAAGTTGATATTTCGAAAAAACATCCGAAGGAGGTTTGGGTGGGTTCAAAAGCTTTTGGTTATCTTCAAAAAGTTGAGTTTGAAAAAACACCGGATTTCTGTCAAAACTGTAAGATACATGGTCATTCTGTTAATGAGTGTTTCAAGTTGCATCCGCATCTTAAAAAAATTGTTGTTCAAAATAAAGAGGGAATTGTTTCCGAAGAAAATCAAGAAGAAATTCTTTCTAATAACGCAGAAAACCCCGTGAATTTAGAACAAAATTTAAATGTAATTAATGAAACAGTTAACCCTGGTTTTACAGAGAATTCGAAAAATAAATTTTCGGTGTTAGTAGACCTCAATGAAGAAAATGAAGTGGTCTCTAATGTTTGTGTGAAAGAACCTAATATATATATATCGATAGATTCTATGCTTAATTCGCCTAAAGATATGATTGATCATGTTCATAAACAGGTTGATTTATCGAATGAGCAAACTAGTACTGAAAAAGAGGGATGTGAGGAAGGGGAATTTATTCCCAACTTGAACAATGAGTCGGATCTGTATGAGGTGGCTA